CAGTCAGAACTACCCTTATTCTTTAGGACTTGGGTTTCAACAGCCCTGCCACTAAAGATAGCAATTGAGAAGCAGGATAGAACAGAGGGCCTTGGGCCATCAAGTCTGGTTGCTTTGGAAGAGGCCAAGGCTTGTCTATGTACCATGTTCTTCTGGGCCGGTTTTGTGCAATGAGAAAAACTGAAACCCTTTCCTCCTCTATCTTGCATAGCAGTCAAGGGATAATCTTTATCAGAGGGAAAGACTGAATCAGCTTAAACTGAGTCCAAGGAAACACCAGAGTATCTAACGTGAAGGCTAGATGATCCCTGGTCTTGGCCACAAAAATTGTTTAGCTTGTTGGTGAACCTGAAAACCAGGATGTCCACAAATGGTTTTCCCACCCATGACAAAGATTTTGAAAGATCCCTGGGTGCAATGACCACTCCTTCTGGCTCTGGGCATTGATGGCTTAGGAAGTCTGCCTTCCAATTGTCCACTCCAAGGATGTGAACTGCCCAGAAGAGTATTAGGCTTTTCTTTTAGAACAGCTTGACTTCTGGTGCCATCTTAATGATTTATATAGGCCACTGTTGTGGCATTGTCTGACTTTACCTTGGCTGGGTGACCTTGCAGAAGAGAGTTCCAGTGTTGCAGAGATAATCTGATGGCTCTTAGTTACAGAATGTCAATGGGAAGTTTTGACTTCCGTGGGGAGCAGGTCCCTTGGACAGTGAGGGAACTGTAAACTATTCCCCAACCTGTAAGGCTGGCATTTGTAGTCATCACCTTCCAGGGCATGTGAAAGAAGGACTTTCCCCAATTCCAGGACAGAAGAATTAGGTGACTTTGACGCAGTTGGTCATCTTAAACATGTATTGCATGTATGTGGACTAAAATTCCCTGTTTTTATGCACATTTTGTTATAAGGGTGTATAGCAGCATGCAGAGGGTTCATTCAGAACTATTAGCGTTAACATGTGGTTATACCCCTTTAGCACCTGATGGGATACATATATATGTACAAGCTATTTGGACTTGAGCACAGGTACAGTATATCTTATTCTATTGCATAGTGCAGTTCAGTGTCCAGATTTGAATTTGTAGCTCTCCTGCAACTTGTGTCTATCTGCCCCATATTGGCTCTATATCCACTGAAGTATGCTATAAGCAAGTAAATATTTTGCAGAGTAGAGTGGGGATTGATCAGAGAAGGATTACTTTGATGCAGTTGTCCAGCTTAAACATGTATTGTAATGTATGTGAACTAAAAATCCTTGTTTTTAAGCATAGTTTGCTAGAAACATTCATGCTAATTTTTTAGTGCCATAGGGGCTTGTTTTGGCAGTGGAGCTTCAGGTGCTGTTAGGCAGACTAGTGTGTCTACAGTTGAGAGCAGTTGGGGTGAATCCATAACATGTACCTCATAAAATGCAAGGGGAGGAAAATCCTCTGCTGTCTCCACTACAAAATCGGGGTCCTCAACATATTTCTCTATTATATAGTCAAGTAAAGAAGGTTCCATTATCCTGAACAGGGTCAGGGGGAAAAGAAAACATGTAGTGTGCTTGGCCTATGGAAATGAAAGGTTCTAGTAGCACTGATATTTCCAAAGAATTCAGACATAGTGGCAAAGAAATCTGTTTTTTTCAGACAAAAGGCATGGTGCATGCCTGGAAGGGATTCAGAGAATGAAAGTGGTTTTATAATAGGACATTGCTCTGGGACAAAGAAACAGCTATCATCTTGAGTGGTGGTTTGGGTTTCCTGTGCAGCAGCTGTCAGAATGCATTCTATTTGTACCAACTCCTCTCTGCCTGTGGTTAGCCATTGCTAAGTGTGAGGATCTTCTGTGGACTATTCACGGTTATAGAGTGTGGAATGGATGGAATTTTACAGTTATAACCCAGGCTGACTGCGGTCCTGTGACTGTGTATCTGAAGATGGCACAATGTGCTGTGTGTGTTTTGGAGGAAAAGTCAGGCAGAAAAGCATCATCTGGAAGGCATGACACAGTTACCTCCTCCTCCTGAGACTGGTTAGTAGGAGAGAAAGCACCAAATTTAAATTGCTTGGGATGAGAAACATGTGAGACAATATGGCAAATGCTAATACAATAAAGAGGCATGGAGGAGCTAAGCTATGAGGAAGGATTACAGGAACTGAATTTATTCTCTCTTGAAAAGAGGAGATTAAGGGAGGATATGATCAACATGTATAAATACATCAGTGGTTCATATAGTGAACTCGGTGTAGAGCTATTCACCCTGAGGTCATCATAGAGGACAAGGGGGCACTGTTTACATCTTGAGGAAAAGAAATTTAATTTCCAAACATGGAAAGGTTTCTTCACAGTGAGAACTGTGAAAATGTGGAATAGACTCCCTCAAGCGTTGGTTCCGGCCAGCTCAGTAGATTGCTTTAAAAAAGTCCTGGATTCTTTCCTAGATACACATAATATAACTGGATACTAACATTTATAGGTAAAGTTGATCCAGGGAATATCTGACATACATGGACATACCCCTGGTAGCTCTTCAGGGTCTGGGAACTATAGAAATGGACCACAGTCCTGGACCTGTATAGGACCCCACAACAAACTACACACCTTTCACTACATGCCAAGATGAACACCTAACGCAGGATCCAGTGCCCGAAGTAAACATTACAAAACAACTCCACATTGTGAGGACTGGGTACAGTACCAAAATTACACACTGAAATTAACCAATCCAGAAACTTTTAGGTAGCCATAGTCAATATGCAGTTAGATCTTGATAGAAACTCATATGTAGAAATGTATATGTAAAGTATATGTAAACCCCCACCTTGTCCAAAACAATATACAGTGGGGATCGAAAGTTTGGGCACCCCAGCTAAAAATGTGTATTAATGTGCATAAAGAAGCCAAGGAAAGATGGAAAAATCTCCAAAAGGCATCCAATTACAGATTAGACATTCTTATAATATGTCAACAAAAGTTAGATTTTATTTCCATCATTTACACTTTCAAAATAACAGAAAACAAAAAAATGGCGTCTGCAAAAGTTTGGGCACCCTGCAGAATTTATAGCATGCACTGCCCCCTTTGCCAAGCTGAGACCTGCCAGTGTCATGGATTGTTCTCAATCATCGTCTGGGAAGACCAGGTGATGTCAATCTCAAAGGTTTTAAATGCCCAGACTCATCTGACCTTGCCCCAACAATCAGCACCATGGGTTCTTCTAAGCAGTTGTCTAGAAAACTGAAACTGAAAATAGTTGATGCTCACAAAGCTGGAGAAGGCTATAAGAAGATAGCAAAGCGTTTTCAGATGTCAATATCCTCTGTTCGGAATGTAATTAAGAAATGGCAGTCATCAGGAACAGTGGAAGTTAAAGCAAGATCTGGAAGACCAAGAAAAATATCAGACAGAACAGCTCGCAGGATTGTGAGAAAAACTATTCAAAATCCACGTTTCACTGCACGATCCCTCCAGAAAGATCTGGCAGACACTGGAGTTGTGGTACACTATTCCACTATCAGATACTTGTACAAATATGGTCTTCATAGAAGAGTCATCAGAAGAAAACCTCTTCTACGTCCTCAACACAAAAATCATCGTTTGAACTTTGCAAATGAACATATAGACAAGCCTGATGCATTTTGGAAACAAGTTCTGTGGACCGATGAGGTTAATATTGAACTTTTTGGCCGGAATGAGCAAAGGTACGTTTGGAGAAGAAGGGGCACAGAATTTAATGAAAAGAACCTCTGTCCAACTGTTAAGCATGGGTTTGGATCAATCATGCTTTGGGGTTGTGTTGCAGCCAGTGGCACAGGGAACATCTCACGAATAGAAGGAAAAATGGATTCAATAAAATTTCAGCAAATTTTGGATGGTAACTTGATGCCATCTGTGAAAAAGCTGAAGTTAAAGAGAGGATGGCTTCTACAAATGGATAATGATCCTAAACACACCTCGAAATCCACGGGGGATTACATCAAGAGGCGTAAACTGAAGGTTTTGCCATGGCCTTCACAATCTCCTGACCTCAACATAATTGAAAATCTATGGATAGACCTTAAAAGAGCATTGTACGTGACAGACAGCCCAGAAATCTCAAAGAACTGGAAGACTTTTGTAAAGAAGAATGGGCAAAGATACCTCAAACAAGAATTGAAAGACTCTTGGCTGGCTACAAAAAGCGTTTACAAGCTGTGATACTTGCCAAAGGGGGCAGTAAAAGATATTAACTCTGCAGGGTGCCCAAACTTTTGCAGACGCCATTTTTTTGTTTTCTGTTATTTTGAAAGTGTAAATGATGGAAATAAAATCTAACTTTTGTTGACATATTATAAGAATGTCTAATCTGTAATTTGATGCCTTTTGGAGATTTTTTCCATCTTTCCTTGGCTTCTTTATGCACATTAATACAAATTTTTAGCTGGGGTGCCCAAACTTTTGATCCCCACTGTACATACAGTTTAAAATAGAAATGAAAGGCAAAACATTTGTGTATAGATATAAAAACAACCCATTATAAATACCCTCAACGGCTGTGGGGGCGTGTCAAGCACACGGAGTTCCAGCACAGCTACAGAACTGACCACATTGTGCTCTAATGCCTGGTAAATTTTCAGAGGGACTGGCAGGAACATCAGGGATGTCAAACAAAGGAAGCAATACATAGAGAACAGGATACTTTTTCATACAAGTACATGGTACAGCAGACACATATCAGGAATATGAACTGCTAGGTTTACACATTCTTTAAGAGACAAAACTGAAAGGTTAAAAAAGAAAAATATTTCTCCTGAGCAGAACAGGTCAATCACCTATAGACACTAGCAAAAAAAACAGGAGTTTCAGGGATGGGGCAAGGTTATATGGGTATGCTCTAGGGTCAGCACTAGCAAGTTATTTTGCCAATCACCTGAAGGTAGTCTGCATATTACTCATGGTCTATGAATAGATTTTTGTCAAAGGCCAAGTACGTATATTATATTAGAAATGCTGATCTTTATAACAAATTATGTACCTGCTGGGCAGCAGACAGCTGCTGGAAAGTGGCAATGCTTGCCCCCTCTGAGGTGCATGCACTGACTGCTTCTTCATATGTGAATTGATATTTGCCTTTCGGGGACTGCAAATGAAAAACTCCGGCTGTTTTCTCTGAAAAAAAAAAAAGCAATAGCCATAGATGTAACAGCACTTACAATATCTCAAAGCCCAATTAAATTTTCCTCAGACATTTGATAGTTCCAGTAATAATACTAAGGTAGGCTATACAGTATGCATTTTTCTGTTTAACTAGTGGGTTGAACAAAAAAAAAAAATTTTCTACGTAGATGGGGAAATCACTCCTGGTGTGTCCACGCTGTTCAGGAAAAACTCAACAAGCTGGTTGTACAGAAGTTGATCGTTAGACTGACTTTTGTACAACTAGGGTGCCCATACATGGAACGAAATTCAGCCAGTTCAGTAAGGACCGCAATTTCAATCCATGTAAGGCTGGCTTTACTGAGCAAATCCTATGCTTTTGTATTGTCTGCCAAACAATTTTTTGCAATACTTTGTAAAGTCTGTGGCTGCCTAGAAAGCTGTAGATGGGACTCTCTGTGTGAGAGCAGCGACCTCAGCCAAAGGTTCGATGTGCACCCCTCTGACTCACACTTAAAACTAAGCAATCAGCAGGGAGCATGAGTTTTGCTGATATTAATGCCAATGGAACAGAATAACAGCCAGACAACTAGTACTTTTTAAAGGAGAGGTCTCCAGCAGCCTGGTATACAGTATAAGAATACCAGTAATTGCATGATTTAGGTATTGAGGCAGCAATGTGCAGAAAATGTATTTTAAAATAAAATTAGCGACACACCTTGAGACAGGTGAAATGCGAAATGTTCATGTTTGTCTGGAGCGTACTTTATTAGTGGTAGGAATTATTTTATCAAGCTAATTATTAGCAACAACAAAGTCATAATTGCAAAGCTAAATGCTTGGGTAAGTTTACTGAGCAGAAATTCCACATTCCCAGTACCTTCAAAATGGAGATCGGTGCAGATTGCCAGTGGGTCACAGCCTCCATTTTCTTGTAGGCATTGGTCAACAGGTGGAGTGTATTTCTCAAGGCACTGGACTCCATTGCCCACAAAACCATTGTGACATTCACATCTCCGTGTATTCTAAAAGAAAAATAGGTTACATCTGACTAATTTCTGACCAGCCTGAAGACTTTAAAAAAGGTATTAAAAAAAATATATATATATATATACTGCAAGTGGGGACCACAAGGGGGTTTAATTTGAAGTTAAGCTTTAAAGGTTCAGCTAAAGTAGTTTTAAGGCCATATCTCTTTTGCCCCCCTCACCCTCCTCTATACTTACCAGAGCCTGATCTCCATTAAGCACTGTGCCCGTCTGCAGCAGCTCTCTCCTCTCTGCTCACAGGTGCAGCAGTGGAAGCTATTGGCTCCTGCTGCTGTCAATCAAATCCTGTAAGCAGAGAGCAGGGGGTGATGCTGTGCCACGCTGTGTGTGTCAATGGATGCACAAAGCTCGAGCGATGTGCAGGAGAACCTCGGCTGTCATAAGGCTCTGTCGCCTCATTGGCTGAGACAGGAGAAGGAGCCGTGTCAATTACAGTAAGTGTGTCAATGAGGAGACAAGAGGGGATGGAGCTGAGCCCCGGATCCAGGTGTGAATGGATACAAGGGGCAGTGGATCGAGAGTATGCCTGCTTGGGTGCCCCATAGCAAGTGGCTTGCTATGGGGACACCTGACAGGAAGGAGGAGCCAAGAGTGCCGGCGGGGGACCCAAGAAGAGGAGGCTGCTCTGTGCAAAACCATTGTAAAGAGCAGGTAAGCATAACATGAAGAAGAAGATCTGTGCACTTAGCCCAATAATGTATATAATGAAAAAGTGACTTGCTGCTACTACCTTCCTGAATATCAGAATAAATCATTTCAACACATTAAAAAAGTGCGCTGTTCACTTTAAATGTGATAAATAAATGTGCACACTAAAATTCATATATCCTCAAATGATAATTAAACTATATGAAATACAGAACTGTACAACCTAAAATACATATAACATCAAATAATATTTCATATGCAGTGCAAAACTAATGCATGTAAATAAGTCCCCAAATCCAATGTGAGGAAAAAAAGTGCTGTGTGCCAAATTAATCTTCCAATAAACTGCTGTTGTGCTAAAAAGGTGCTTCTCAGAAAAACAGGCAAGCCTCTTACCGAACCAAACTGATCTCAAGCTATAGAGATCAAATGAGTGGATAGTGTCCAAACTCCACACTGACAGTCTCACTGACAAACCTAGGGAGGATGGATGGATCACTGCGTGTTCACACCAGGAACCGACTTAACCACTTCATACCGCTCTCCGCAATAGTGTATAAAAGGGTTTAAACAAGAAAATACTTCATAGTGCAACCCCATTAAAAACAAATGTTTATTTAAAACCAAAGTATTCAGATGAGTTAAAGAGAGCAATGGAAAAACATGTGACTATTCAGCCGTGGTGTCAGTCTGTCGGATCGTGCGTGGTGACGTCACAGAAAGACTCCAGTGTTATTTTAGGCTGCACAGTTTTGTATTTCATATGAAAGTTGCTAGACTCTCCTATCTAACTAATAAGGCAAAGAGGGTGGTACCTGCACTTTGATCTCAGACAGTATGTAGTACAGATCTGAAATCTATTCATTGTTCATATACTGTATATGCGGTCCAGTTACTGATTGGGATATGTCTCAGAAATGTTTCATCTACACCCCTGGAACAGGTGAAATACTTAAATCTTCTGCAATATGTATCCATTTTATTTTCAATAACTGATAGTATGTCTTATTTTGTAATTTTTTTTATTAATATGCGCTGCCCACTACTAGGGAAATTTGGTATATACTGGAATATACTGGCGAAAGTGGGAATAATTTGACATGGTGTGATTTGAAATCAAGCTTCTTGATTAATTCAACTTTTGGAGGATTTTAAACAAAATTGTCACAAGTTATCTGGGAAATGAACTCCTGGACTACTTGGCAAAACCCTTTTGAGACAGAACAAATGTGTGGAGGACGTATTTGGAAAAGGGACATTCCATAGCTGGTAAGACCCAGGAACAGGGATTGGCAAGCGTGCAGTGAATCTTCACCATTGCTCAAGCAGTGCCCCACAAGGGGAGTGGAAGGACTCCTTGACCCTGAAAGTAGAACTATAAGCAAATCATTTTTTTTTCATTTTGCATAGAATAAGAGAGGGTTATAACCCCTTAGTTTATTTTTTGCCATCTGTGTCCCATTGGGAAAGATTCACTTTCACTTCCTGTCCCATAGCCAAAAGAGAAAGTGAGAGGAAATCCCTACAAATTAAGGGAATTCCCTGGGGACCCCCAGGTCACCAGAAATAGTGTCTCAATGTGAAAATTTCCCCTCTATTACTTTTCTGGGGATGATCTAAAATTTGGGGTTTCTTTTACTTTCACTTTCGATGATAATAGTATACAGGACAGATAGAGAGGGTGTATCTTCCTAATGAGGGCTACGGACAGCAAAAAATAACAGGTGTTCTAACTCATCTCCATTCTATCCAAAACCTTAACATTACAAAAACATACGTTTTTAATAACAGTCTTTATTTAGGCGCAACACTAATTTACAGAGTTGGAAATTTATAATGAAGGGCTGTATATATGTGGATCTATGCGATCCATGAACGCGGTATACAGTATATGCATAATCTCTTTCAAAGTATTTTGAATGTTATTAATAATGCAAACATTTGTATGACTGCTTAATGTTAACAGGAATTTTACTGCAATGTAGTCATTTTCTGAGTTAGCAAATTCAAGAAGCTGTAAGATGGTTTAGTACTCTTGACATCTAACAATAACTGGGTGGACTGACCATTTAAGAATAAGCAGTCAGCAGGCATGTAAAATGTGTACATCATGTGTACCTAAGGAACCAGCATATCCTTGTATAAATACCTACAGTATATGGATAAATAGGTATGCACTTACCGGACCAGTGTGAAAACATGTTGCATGTTCACTACACCCCCCGTTTTCCCCATTTGTACAAGGATTGATTGAGGTGCACACATTGCCGTCTCCTTCATATCCAGGAAGACATGTACATGAAACTTTTGTCCCAATCATAGAGCACCGAGCATTGAGACTACACCCGCCATTGTAAATCTGGCATTGGTCAATAACTGCAGAGTAAAGGAACACCTTGATTACTAAATTGGGGAATACTGAATTGATGCAAGAGCATTTCATATCTGTCCTCATCCAAGGAAACAGAACAGTATGATGACACTATATTGCCAAAAGAATTGGGACACCCTTCCAAATCATTGGATTCAGGTGTTCCAATCACCTCCAAGGCCACAGGTGTATAAAATCAAGCACCTAGACATGCAGACTGCTTCTACAAACATTTGTGAAAGAATGGGTCGCTCTCAGGAGCTCAGTGAATTCAAGCATGGTACCGTGACAGGTTGCCACCTGTGCAATAAGAAAAAAGAAACGCCCCTTCGAAGAGGTAAAGCCCCTGGTGGGACAAGCGGTTACTGAAAAAGCAAGCAGGCTTATGTCAAAAAAATATATTGTCTCTTTAATCAAGTAAACAGTGTATAGATGTCAAGAAAAGTAGTAAAATACATCTCATGTACTAAGAAAAGCACGGTGCTCAGTATCCTTACCATGAATTACAAAAACAAACAAAAATGAAAAACAATGTCAACAGATCAACGTCTGGACATCAAAATTATATACTGTATATATACATATGTCTCTCATTCCAGAATACTGGCGCAGACCACACACTGCTTAAATAGTATCAAATAATAGGAAATCTGGATATACAAACAGAAATACACACAGGACCCATAAACAGACTACCTAAGATGAAATTAAGACTTGTATAATGGATACACCATATGATTCCTTAGATCAGTAGTCTACTGGTGAGTTAATACTTGATGACAATGGGCATTAGATTCCATTCTATGAGATCAGGGTACATTGAAAAGTATCACTTCTCCAGTATGCGTCAAAGACCATGTCAGTGCATCTTCATGAAATTACATTCAATGATCGGCTAGCATGTTAGTTACAGATTGAGAAAGCCAAGTGGTAAAGATAATGCCATGCATTGCGTAGTAATTAATGACTGACTGCAAGCAAAAGAAACAGCATCCAAGTGACAGGTGCGGCACAGAGAAGACTGATCATCGTAGGTAAGACTGTGCTATTAGATATTGCGGCCTTGTGTATCGCATGTCATAACAGTTCAAACAACACCAAAGCTCAACGAACATCTTACCACACTTGGGTACCCTCAGGGTTTTCCCCTGTCCTCCATGGTCAAATCACTGTGTACTGTTTGTTTATGTTTACTGTGTATGAGAAATGGAATCTGCCCGTAGTCCTCACTCCTCGTGTACTGCCAACAGAGTATCTGGGGGGCGTGGCAATGTGACTTCATGTGACGCTCAGTGACGTCAACGCGTTTCACTTACATACAAGCGTAGCTTCGTCAGAACAACATGTGGTCCACGTCATAGCTGTTTAAATAGGGTTACTAATCAACGCTAGTTCCGCACGATCCGCAAAATCTTTTAAAGGAGACATTATCTAATTCCTTCCTGACATAGTACTGAATCCCATTGTTAATCATATAGTTTCCACCATGTAATATTTAGTAGACGAAGTATTGGTGTTATTATATCGTGTCGTTCACATTATTGAAATATATTTTTTTCAACAATTACATATTCACCTTTTCTCGAAGGAAAGATTTAAGGATAAATTGACATATTCTTATGCATTTAGAAGGACTTTGAGGTTTAGCTCAGTATTTAAGCCCAAAGAGATCAATGATCTCAACTTACAAATCCACCATTTCTCCTTTTTCACCAACACTGTAATTAAATCACCATGTCTCTGGGACAATTTAAGCTCATATATACCTTTTATTGTCATTCCCTCCAAACTACCTCCATGATATTTATGAAAGTGTTTACCTAGGGGCTTTTCAAGACTTTTTGAATTTTTATCGTTAACCGCTTCTCGACCGCCCTATAGCAAATATACTGCTACAAGGCAGCAGGAGTGCGCAAAATCATGTATATATATATGTGATTTTTGCATTTTCGCATCCTCGGCTGTCAATCACTGGGTCCCGGCCTGTGGTTACCTGCCAGCGCCCGGTGTTTGCCGAGCATCTCCGACAGGGAGGAGGACTGTTTTGTTTACAAACAGTTCTCACGGTCAGCTCGAGCACACTGTGCGCAGCCATCCAGAGAAGTGTGCTTACAGTGAAGCAACCAACACACCGCCCCCTAGTAAAATACTCCCTGCACACAGTTAACCCTTTGATCATCCCTCATGTTAACCCCATCCTGCCTAGTGACATTAGTACAGTTTCAGTGCTTTTTTTTTAGCACTGATCACTGTATTGGTGTCACTGGAGATGTCAGTGATACCAAGTAATTTCCCCCCAGTGTCAGAATGCCCGCCGCAGTCCCACTATAAGACGTTGATCGCCGCCATTACTAGTAGATAAAAATGGCCATTTGTAAACACTAACTTTCACATAAACCAATTAATTTACATGTATTGGGATTTTTTAGCAAAGACGTAGCAAAATACATTTTGGTGTAAATTTATGATGAAATTTGAGTTTTAAATTTTTATTACTGGTCGTTTAATAGCAAAAATTCAGAAATATTGTTTTTTTTTTTTCTCAAAATTTTGGCTGTTTTTTAATAGCGCAAAAAATGAAAAACGCACAGGTGATCAAATACCACCAAAAGAAAGCTCAATTCGTGGGAAAAAAAGGACAGAAATGTAATTTGGGTGCAGCGTTGCATGACCGCGCAATTGTCAGTTAAAGTAAAGCAGCGCCGTAATGAATAAAATGGCTTGGTCAGGAAGGAGGTAAATCCTCCGGAGGGCAAGTGGTTAATATCACGCATATGTTCACCAATTCTAGTTTTTAATTGCCCTTTGGTTTTACTAATATATATTTTGGTACATGGACAGGTAATCATGTAGACTACCCTGGTGGTTGAACAGTTAATTACGTCTCTGATTTGAAATCTTTTTTACCCAGTGGAGTCAAAAAAGGTATTCGTTCGCTCTACAAATAGACACATCTGACATTTACCACACAAGAACATTCCCTTAGTCCTGGGATACTCTGACAGCCAGTCATTTGTCGGTGTCCTGACAAATTCAGCATGAATTAAAATGTCCCCAAGATTTTGTGTCCTTCTGGCTACCATTTGGGGGGAATCACCAACAATTTTGGTCAATCCTGGGCTATTTGTAAGGATACCCCAGGGTTTCTGCAGTATCCCTCTGACCTTATCCCACTGGGAAACAAATGAGGTTTTTAACCTTAGAGGTTCAGGGGAATCTTTCTTCTGTATCGATGTCCTTTTTATTAAACATGGTACCGCGATAGGTTGTCACCTGTGCAGTATATCCATCCATGAAATTTCCTTGCTGCTAAATATTTCACGGTAAACTGTTAGTGGTATTATAAGAAAGTGGAAGCAACTGGGAACAACAGCAACTCAGCCATAAAGTGGTAGGCCACGTAAAAGGACAGAGCGGGGTCAGCGCATGCTGAAGTGAACAGTGCGCAGAAGTCACCAACTGTCTGCAGAGTTAATAGCTACAGACCTCCCAACTTTGTGTGGCTTTCAGATTAGCACAACAACAGTGCGTAGAGAGCTTCATGCAATGGGTTTGCATGGCCAAGCAGCTGCATCCAAGCCTTACATCACCAAGTGCAATGCAACGCATCAGATGCAGTGGCATAAAGCATGCTGCCACTGGATTCTAGACCAGTGGATAAGTGCTCTCTGGACACGGTTCTCTGTCTGGCAATCCAATGGACCTGCCTCGGCTTGGTGGTTGCCAGGAGAACAGTACTTGCCTGACTGCATTGTGCCAAGTGTAAAGTTTGGTGGAGGGGGGATTATGGTGTGGAGTTGTTTTTCAGGGGAGCGGAGGCTGCAAGCCAGGCCTTCTCATCCGAAATCAGTGCCTGACCTCACAATTGCGCTTCTGGAAGAATGGTCAAACATTCCCATAGACACTCCTAAACCTTGTGGACAGCCTTCCCAGAAGAGTTGAAGAAGTTCTAGCTGAAAGGGTGGACCAACTCAATATTGAATCCTACGGACCAAGATTGGAATGCCATTGAAGTTCATATGCATGTAAAGGCAGGTGTCCCAATACTTTTGGCAATATAGTGTACATTTAACAGTAAAGTTCAAAAGTCAACTATAGCAAATACCTAAAGCTCAGTAATTTATACTGTTTTAAAGTAGAACGCCAGACCATGTTAATCTATATTCTGTATATATTTGTTAAAAAAAGAAATAAGATACCAATTTAAAAATGTATAAACTTTATAAACAACATTATAAAATCCAAACAAATTATAGTCCTCCCATGAAGGTTAAGACAGGTTTCCTTAACCCCACCAGCAGCACATATTCACCTTTGCTTTGCTCTCCTGACACTTTGTTCTTTGGGAGCCAACAGGAACACTGTGTACGTCTAGGTATAGGGCACATGTGACCCATTCCAGTTCAGTGCTTGTGCATCGAGCATTGTCACTTAGCAGACGGAGAACTAAGAACGGACACTGAGACTACAGTACTATGTCATGGCTTGGGGCTTACACAAGACTCTCTCTCACTAAACAGAGCCAAAGGAAGTGGAATACATTCAGCAACAGAGGGTGGCAGTTAAGTGAGCTTGTTTCTAAGTCTAGGATCATCACACTGGATGGGAAGTGGTTGCAAGCTTGCTGGTCCTGCAGCTATAGGGAAACACGTCTGTATTCTGGTGTCTTTGGGTAGGAGGCAAGTCTTTTTATTTTTTTGCTCACATTCTTTATTTAGTTGAGAGTTTCATTAGTACAGGAAAAAGCAGTTAAAGGCAGCTGACCACATGCTATAATTCAGGTGTACACAAACCAACGACAGACAATACAATAAGGAACAGCTGTATACTTTGGCATTATGATGTTTAGTGAAACTACTCAAATTTGTAACATTTTCTAAGCAGGGAAAATAGATAGGCAAAGGGTATGAGAATAGGGTCTGGCAATGAAGGAAGGGGAGGTGGAGGTGAGGGCTCCAACCTGAGGAGCCAAAAAACTACAAATCAATAGAGAAAAGAAAAAAAGGAGGGGGTGGGTACTAGATTCCTAATTACATTTTCTTATATTCAGATTTGCATTTACATTTCTCACAATAATACTATTTTTTAGTCTGATCTGCTGACTTATCCCTGAGGGCTGCATAAAAGTCTTCCAAATTTTGGATATCATTCACCCTTGCAAACCATTGTTGAAGTGCTGGTGCTGCAGATTGTTTCCAGGTACTAGGGAAGCATGCACTGGCAGCATTTATAAGATGGAGTATCAAGGATCTCTTGTATCTTTTCTGTGTCATGGGCGTAAGATTGAGAAGGATTTTTTTTTATTGCAAAAACGTAAAAGCTACAGATAATCTGCCTGTGTACCTATTGGGGAGCTTACACTCACTTCGTCAAAGAAAGATCTCCTCTACGGGGATACAGATAGTAGAAGTTCTAACCCTACCACTCTCTACCCAAAAGGAAAACATACCTATTTTTCTTTGTAAATTGTCCTTCTTTCAGTTATCTTCCTACTTTATTACTGCTTTATGAGACCATTTCATTTTTTTTTATACCTAGATGTACTTACCATTGCATGATCTCCCATCTCCCTCATAGTCAGGGTTACATACACATTGATTGTCAGTTCTGCATGTGGCATTACCATCACAAGCTGGTGAGCAAGTAGGTTCAATCACTAGAATTACATGTAAGAAATATCAGCATATGACTTATTAATTAGAATTGATCAAATGTTATAGGTGCTCAGCTACATTAACACCTCAGAAACCAGTGAATGTTTACCCCTTATAGAAAACAATGCTTTTTATAGTTCAACTACTTGCCTTTTAGTTTGGCAATAACTTTTGAATGAATTCCTGCACATGCACTGATATATCATCCCAAAACACCCCATCAATATGGTCGAAGACTCAGACAGGGAGGGCCGGCAAAGGAACAGAAGTTGGACTGCTGGAGCGGAGGTGAGTATCTGAGGCTTTAGTGTACATATATTTTTTGTGGGCTATAATACAAATAAGGCTTTCTACTGATGATATTTTCAATTTTTTTTTAAAAACATGTTTTTGTAGTTGTGACCAGTAATAGTTTCCAGTCATCTAGTGCTACCGTAAGTGCAAATTTTACCTTGTGAATTGTCGCTTCATCACAATAAATTTATGCTGCTGGATAAAATACATGGCAGTTATTTATTGGAAAACAAATCTAACTAACTTAAAGTAGAACTAAAGGCAAAACTTGTTTCAGTTTGGATAGAGTTTTGAGTAAAGAAGGGTTAAAACCACTGTCAGGGTTTTTTTTTTTTGCCATCTGTCCCATTGCCACAACAGGAAGTCTGTTATGATCCGCCAGGTGGTGCCTCAGGCTGCCAACTGACAGACCTACTCAGAGCGTGGGGTCTAAGCCCGGGCTGTGCTTTCACCAGGGCCCCTGATGGTGGGGATGGACTTGAAACAGTCCCGGGCCAGGTCACGACCTCTGAGCAGGCCCACCAGTGGCTGAGGAGACCTCCGGGGACGTATGCAGGTACCGGAAGAGCCAGATGTGAAGAGGATGGCGGCCCCAGCAGGGTAGTAACGGATCGTGGGCCCGTGAGGGTAAGCGGGGTACAGAATCGGTGGGCAAAGAGTAGTCGGGTCACACGCAGGATCAGCAGGGTAAGTCAGTCCGTAGAATGGTCAGGGTAATCCGGGTCAATCACAGGAGCAGGCAGAGTAGTCAGGACAATCCGAGTCAATCACAGGAGCAGGCAGCGTAGTCAGGGCAATCCGGGTCAATCACAGGGGCAGGCAGCGTAGTCAGGGTCAATCAGAGTCACTAGACGGGTGCAGGAACTCAGAATCACAGAAAGACCTTGCGGCAAGCTGTGACAGTGCAGGGCATCTTTAAATAGTGCGCCCTGCACTGTCATTGGCTGGCTAGGACGCGCCCCCGGCTGTCAGTGGATGCCTGAGGTGCGCCCGCGGCTCCTACTGCGCATGCGCGGCGTCCTGTCAGCTGCGGCTCGCCGGGACCTAGTGCCTGTGTCCCGGCGCGATCTGCCGCCAGTGCGCATGCGTGGGGGATGGCGCCGCGATCTGGGAATACGGAGCCGCGATCCCTGACATTGCCCCCCCCCAATGGGCACCCTCCGGGAGCCCCACTGATCTCTCCACCGCGGGTGACTACGACAAAACTCCCGGATGAGCCTGGGTGCGTGAATGTTCTGGGCGGGTTCCCATGAGTTCTCCTCAGGCCCATAACCCTTCCATTTTATCAGGAACTGTGTCTGGCCCCCCCTCTTTCGGCAACTGAGGATAGTCTCCACTTCATATTCCTCCTGGTCACCTATGGTGACTGCCTCGGGAGGTCCGGATTCACGGTCCGGGAAGGGATCCGGTCTGGATGGCTTCAGGAGAGACACATGGAACACAGGATGTATCTTGAAGGTCCGCGGAAGCTCGAGTTCGTAGGCTACCTCGTTGACTACTCGTTTTACCGGAAATGGGCCAATGTACTTGGGTCCCAGCTTCCTTGAAGGGCACAGCATCTTCAAGTTGGTCGTTGCCAGCCAAACCTGATCCCCTGGTTGAAGCAGTAACTCTCCTCTTCTCTTTCTGTCGAACGCCCTTTTACTGTCCTCTTGGGCTTTAGCGATGGCTTCCTGAATCATTTTGTTATTGACAGAAAAGAAGTTCAAGATGTCTTGAGACGCCGGTACCGGATTTTCAGGCATTAGATCAGGGAGGAATGTGGGATGATACCCGTAATTGGAAAAGAACGGGGATTGACCCGTAGCTGAGTGACTCGAGTTGTTGTACGAGAATTCTGCGGAAGGCAACAACGTCAGCCAGTCATCCTGAAGGTAGGATGTGTAGCATCGTAAGTACTGTTCCAGCGTTTGGTTGGTCCTCTCGGTTTGGCCATTGGTCTGTGGATGGTAGGCGGATGAAAGCGACAGCTTGATTCCCAGCGCTTTACACAAGGCGTTCCAGAACCTGGAGGTGAATTGGACCCCCCGATCTGACACTATATCTTCGGGAACCCCATGAAGCCTCACTACTTCCTTAATGAAGATCCGTGCCGTTTCCGGTGCCGATGGGGTCTTCTCCAGGAGCACAAAATGTGCCATCTTTGAGAAGCGGTCGACGATCACCATTATTTGCTGTGTAGCCTTGGGATGGTGGGAGTTCGACCACGAAATCCATGGCTATCATTTGCCAGGCCTGCTTGGGTATGGGTAATGGACGTAACAATCCACATGCCCTGCTCCTGGAGGTCTTGTTCCTTTGACAGGTGGGACAAGTCTGGACGTAACGCTCACAATCCTTGATCATGTCCGGCCACCAGAACGAGCGCCGTAGTAGTTCCAGAGTTTTCGTAACCCCGAAGTGACCCGCCATTGGATGGTCGTGGCAGTGCCCTAGGACCAAGGTTCGCACTTCTGGGACCATGATCCGGTCTTCCTTCCAAAACAGCCCACCGTGGCTCTGGAGGGGTGACCCAGACGGAACTGGTAGTCCTACAGAAGCATCGAGAAGCCGGGAGCGAAGTTCCGTTTGTAGAGCGAGGAAGCTTCCAGAAGGTAAGATGGTGTCAGGTACCACGGCGTCGTCGGGGTCCTCAAACATGCGGGACAGAGCGTCTGGTTTTGTATTCTTAGTACCGGGTCGGTACGTTATATGGAACGTGAATCGAGAAAAGAAAAGAGCCCATCTCGCCTGGCGAGGTCTCAGTCGTTTTGCCGTTCTTAAATATTCAAGGTTTTTGTGATCTGTGAATATTAGGATTGGGTGCGTGGTTCCTTCCAGTAAATACCTCCATTCTTCTAGAGCGGCTTTAATGGTCAGGAGCTCCCGATCTCCAATGTCATAGTTACGTTCCGCCGGTGTCAACTTCCTGGAGAAGAACGCCACAGGGTGCAGTAGTTCCTTGGTACCATTCCTTTGGGACAGAACCGCTATTACCGCGTTTTCGGAGGCGTCCACTTCCAAAACATATGGGAGAGAAGAATCCGGATGGCAGAGAATGGGAGCAGAGGTGAACAATTTCTTGAGCTTTTCGAATGCCGTCTAAGCTTCGGGAGTCCACTTAAAGCGGACCCCTTGTTTCGTCAGTTGCGTGATCGGGGAGACCAGACCGGAGAAGTTCCTAACAAACTTTCTATAAAAGTTAGAAAAGCCGATGAAACGCTGTACCCCCTTTTTGTCGGCGGGTATTGGCCAATCTAAGATCGCCGTGACTTTCTGGGGATCCATCGCGACCCCCACGGAAGAGAGAACCAGTCCCAAGAACGTGATTTCGCGCTGTTCGAAACAGCACTTTTCTGCCTTAGCGTATAGCCCGTGTTGACGCAGCCGTTCTAATACCCGTAACACGTGACATCGATGAACCTCCAGTGAGGGGGAAAAAATTAGGATGTCATCCAAATAAACCACCGCGAAAACATCGAGGAAATCACGAAAAACATCGTTGATAAAGTGCTGAAAGGTTGCCGGTGCATTACAGAGCCCGAACGGCATCACCAAATACTCATAGTGACCGAATCTCGTACGGAACGCCGTCTTCCACTCATCCCCCTCCCTGATACGAACAAGGTTATAGGCCCCCCGCAGGTCTAATTTAGTAAATATCGTTGCCGATCTCAGTCTCTGGTGGAGCTCGGGGACTAGGGGTAAGGGATAACGATTCTTTACCGTTATTTTGTTCAGATCACCGTAGTCTATGCAGGGCCGTAACGATTTGTCCTTCTTCTCTACGAAGAATAACCCGGCCCCGGCTGGGGATGTGGATGGACGAATAAATCCCTTCCGAAGGTTTTCGTCAATATATTCCCTCAGTACTCCCGATTCCGTTTCAGACAAGGGAAAGATACGGCCGAATGAGATTTCAGATCCGGGTAGGAGGTCTATGGGGCAATCGTAGGAACGGTGCAGAGGAAGAATGTCAGCTCCTCGCTTACTGAAAACGTCTAAGAAGTCATGGTAGGCCGGAGGAATAACCTGGGATAGATTGGTGTCGCCATCCAAGCACAGGAGGAACCGGGGAACCACGGATTCTGTGACGTGGCAGTAACTCAAACAATAAGGTGACCGAAATTGAATTGTTCCCTTTTCCCAGTCAATCTGGGGGTTATGGGCTCTCAGCCAAGGGAGCCCCAGAATGACTGGAAAAAGGGGAGATGCGATGGCATCCAAACGGAGGAACTCCTGGTTATGGTCTGCCATTGTGGTGAAAATGGGTGGTGTCTCCTGGTCCACCACCCCTGATTTTATACTGGACCCATTTGCCAAGAAGATGTTGAACCCCCTTTCTTTGGTCTGGAGAGGGATTTTTTGCCGGTGGGCAAAAGTCAGATCGATAAAACAACTACAAGCTCCTGAGTCAACGATTGCGGTCACTGACAATGTTCCTCCGGGGAGCTGTAAAGACACAGGAATGGCCAGGTAACTTGACTGATCATCCCTTCCTGCAGGTAAAGTAAAAGAAACGGGAGTGGACTTACTCATTTTTGCAGGACAGGAGCGCACCTGGTGACCAGCTTCCCCGCAGTACAGACATAGGTTCTGTGATCGTCTCCTCTGACGTTTCTCTCGACCGATAAGTGGGAACGGGCCAGTCCCAGTTGCATGGGTTCCGGGTTGTCCCCTGTTTCGCCGATGGTTCCCTGGGACTGGAGCTGTGTCTCTCGATGGAATCCATGCCACCCTTTGACCCTGGGCTGCTCCTTTCCAGCCGACGTTCCCTTAGTCTACGGTCAATTTGAATGGCCAACTCAATCAGTTTTTCCCGGGAGTCAGGTAGGCCTACTCGTGCTAGTTCGTCTTTGAGAGACTCAGACAGCCCGATGCGGAACTGGTGACATAAGGCCGCATCGTTCCATCTGGTGTCTCCCATGCAACGCCTAAAATCGGACGCGAATTCTTCGGCTGTCCGGCGGCCCTGCTGTAGAGAGTATAGGGTAGCCTCTGCGGAAGCAGCCCCCTGAGGGTCGTCATACAAAACGGCCATGGCCTGAAAGAACTCAGTCACGGAGTCAAGATGGGGGTCGTGCTTCTCCATCAGATGGTGAGCCCAATCCTGGGGCTCATCCTGAAGGAGAGAGACTATAAACCCCACCTTGACGGTCTCGGTGGTGAACGTGCGGGGCTGCAAGTCGAAGTACAGGGTGCAAGCGTTCCGGAAGGCTCGGAAGTGGCTCCGGTCACCACGGAATCGATCCGGCAGGGGAACATGGGGTTCAGGAGCTAGGGGTGTGGAAACCGCTCCGGATACCGGGGTAGCGGGAGGTTCTGCAGATGGAGGACTCTGAGCAGGGGGAGTCAGGGGGGCTAATGACTCCATGTGGTCCTCCATTCGGGCGCAGCGACTGTGGAAATTCTGGAAAGCCTGGGTCAAAGTTGCCAGGTGCTGGCAAATATCCTCTAGGGACGCCGGTCCACTTCCTGGCTCTGTCATGGGCGCAAGGTACTGTTATGATCCGCCAGGTGGTGCCTCAGGCTGCCAACTGACAGACCTACTCAGAGCGTGGGGTCTAAGCCTGGGCTGTGCTTTCACCAGGGCCCCTGATGGTGGGGATGGACTTGAAACAGTCCCGGGCCAGGTCACGACCTCCGAGCAGGCCCACCAATGGCTGAGGAGACCTCCGGGGACGTATGCAGGTACCGGGAGAGCCAAATGTGAAGAGGATGGCGGCCCCAGCAGGGTAGTAACGGATCGTGGGCCCGTGAGGGTAAGCGGGGTACAGAATGAGTGGGCAAAGAGTAGTCAGGTCACACGCAGGATCAGCAGGGTAAGTCAGTCCGTAGAATGGTCAGGGCAATCCGGGTCAATCACAGGAGCAGGCAGAGTAGTCAGGACAATCCGGGTCAATCACAGGAGCAGGCAGCGTAGTCAGGGCAATCCGGGTCAATCACAGGGGCAGGCAGCGTAGTCAGGGTCAATCAGGGTCACTAGACGGGTGCAGGAACTCAGAATCACAGAAAGACCTTGCGGCAATCTGTGACAGTGCAGGGCATCTTTAAATAGTGCGCCCTGCACTGTCATTGGCTGGCTAGGACACGCCCCCGGCTGTCATAGGACGCCTGAGGCGCGCGCCCGCGGCTCCTACTGTGCATGCGCGGCGTCCTGTCAGCCGCGGCTCGCCGGGACCTAGTGCCTGTGTCCCGTCGCGATCTGCCGCCAGTGCGCATGCGCGGGGGACGGCGCCGTGATCCGGGACTACGGAGCCGCAATCCCTGACAAAGTCAGAGGATATCCCCTCAAAGAGAATTCCCCAGCAGAACGGTCACCAGAACTAGTGTTCTCTTTGGAAGATTTCCCCTCTATTACTGTTCTGATGACAACCCAAAATTGGGGATTTTCTTTCACATTCACTTTTGGTGATAACAGTAAACATGACAAATAGAGAGGGTGAATCTCCCTAACGGGGACACAGATAGCAATAAAAAAAAACCTGACAGGTGTTCTAATCCCTCTCCACACTATTCAAAACTAAAAAAAAAAGTTTTGTCAGTAGTTATACTTTAACAAAAGCATACTAGTGAAAAAACTGCTAAGGAAAGCAAGTGGACGGTGGGTAACAATGGTTAAGACATTATTAAGAAAAAAAAAAAGAAAAAGACTGTTTACATATTATTTTGATTTAGGCTCCATTCACGCTCATGCATGCAATGCAGTAATGCAAGTGTAGCACCCTCCTACATAGTGCTAGGTTGATAGGTTTAATAGGTAAATTTAGTTGTCATGTTGTAGACAGTGTGGTTATAAATGTTGCTGTGTTCTGCTAGTTAGGTCTGCTCAGTATGATCAGCTGCAGCCAGGCTGATAGCTCCCTCTGTATCCAGAAGGCTTGAGACGCTTCTGGATAATAGGTGTATGCAGATGGCAGCATGAATACAGCCTTGGTCAATCCCAGAGAAAGAGGCTTTGACGGCATACTGGGTAACTATATATATTCAGTGAGTATACTGACTTCTGGGTCTTTCCTGTATAGGATTGGTCCAGCCTGGAGGAGGGTATGCTGATCTCTCAGACAATGCTGTTGGATCTACTGCCGTAGGCCTTAGGTGGGTGACCTGAGGACCTGAATGCTGAGACCTAGGTTTTGCTAGAGCTGACCGAAAGGCCGTCTACTGAAGATCTGGTCTGGCATCACGGAAGAAGGCAACCAGATGTTCTTGGGCCTTGTAAGTACAGACACCTAGCTGGTGCTAGGAAGTCAGCTACGGATCTAGCTAAAGGGGGCCAGCTGGTGTTCTGAAGAGCTTTGTTTACTTTTTCTCCTACCTAAAGGGACTCTGCTGTTTGCTACTATATTATATATTATATATATTATACTGCTATCTTAAAGCTAAAGTCTGTTTGTTTCAAGCACAGACTTCATCATATCTTATCTGAAAGAATACTAAAAGTATAAAACGGTACATAGTTCTTGTTTTTGGAGTATCCCACCTAATTCCCTCAACCCTATCCAATTTCTCTAAAAATAAAAAACAACAAAAACAACACCCCTAAACTGGTCATTGAAGAAAAGTGTGAATGAGGCTATGTGCTTGGCTGCAGGGCAAAGCTTTAGGGGAAGACCTGGACAGTTTCCCTGCGGCTCCTACGGGAGTAGCGATACACAAGCAAAATTGTACACATTCCCATGCTGTCCAAAAACGCATATCCTTTTTGCAGGAGATCTGCATGGTAACAAATTAGAGATCATAGGGAAGGGTATGTGGAGGACTTTGAAACTGAGGGAGGAAGGTTGTGCGGTAAGGGTAAAATTGCAGTTACACATTGCTTACACAGGAACTGACACAGTTTCTATAGCTCTCACTAACAATGTAAGCAATATTTGCATAAGATTTATAGAATGGCAATTCAACATATCAAAGTTCAGTTCTTACTGAGTTTAATGTCACAGTTCTGGCCAGTCCATCCTTCAGCACAGAAACACGATCCATCACCAGAAATTCCATCGCTACATTGTCCATACTGTGTACAAGTGCATTCTGAAAAATAAACAGTAGATTTTCATTTACACCGACCAGCCATAACTTTATGACCACTGACAGGTTATGTGAATAACATTGATTATCTTATTACAATGGCATCTGAAAATCAGTGGGATATATTAGGCAGCAAGTAAACATGTTGTTCCTGAAGGTGATGTGTTGAAAGCAGAAAAAATGATAATGACTGTTTTCTGTGTATGGGGCTGCGTAGCTGCAGACCACTCAGGGTGCCCATGCTGACCCGTGTTCACAGACAAAAGTGCCTACAATGGGCACGTGAGAAGCAGAAGTGGACCATAGAGCAATGGATGAAGGTGACCTTGTCTAATGAATCACTAACATCACGTGGCTGGCAGGGTGTGCGCGTGTTGATTACCTGGGGAAGAGACGGCATCAGGAAGCAATATGGAAAGACGGCAAGCCAGTGAAGGCAAATGCTTTGGGCAATGTTCTGCTGGGAGACCTTGGGTCCTGCCATTCATGTGGATGTTACTTGTCACGCACCATCTACCCAAACATTGTTGCTGACCAAGTACAACCCTTCATGGAAATTATATTCCTTGATGGCAGTGGCCTCTTTGAGCAGGATAATACCTTCCACATTGCAAAAATGGTTCAAAAATGTTTTGAAGAACACAACAATGAGTTTGAGGTGTTAATTTGGCCTCCAGATTCTCCAGAGCTCGGTCCAATCGAGCATCTGTTGGATCTGCTGGAAAAACAAGTATGATCTATTGGGACCCAGCTCACAACTTACAGGACTTAAAGGATCTGCTACTGATGGCTTGCTGCCAGATACCACAGCATAGCCTCAGAGGTCTAGTGAGGTCTAGAGGTCTAAGTCCATGCCTTGAAGAGTCAAGGCTTTTTGGTAGCAAAAAGGGGGCCTAGTGAATATTAGGTGGGTGGTCATAAAGTTATGGCTAATCAGTTTCTATTCAATACAAAAGATTAGAGCTGGTGAAGAATAGTGGTGTTGTTGCAACTGATACAGGCTAAGGACAGCATGATAAAACCAGGCAATGTTCCCAATTACAATAATCGATTGTGTTTTTTTAACCTGTTCTGCTGTGTGCTGTAGAAGGATACTAAGGGCCCCAGGTGCTGGTTTTGTCAAAGGCTATTTCCCAACTTGTTAAAAAAAAAAAAAATCTCTACGCAATGGTGTTTTCTATTTTTCACTCCTCTATTAAGCAGAGTAAAGGATAAAAAAGTACTGATTGTGTGCTACTGTTTGCATGGGTACACAGTACATTCTACAACCTGTTCAGGCAAATATATTATAACCCTTCATTCTCAGATAGATATCTGCAGAACTATGGCTAAACATACTGAAAAGGTTAGGATTTCTTTTGTTCAGCAGGCTGAAGGAGAGAAATCACTTTGATTCCCCCCCCATCCATGTGAAATAGTATGGATTCGTGGATCTACAGTGCCAGTATTGCATTCTGGCAGCCAACACCTGCAGTTGTCTAAATACAGCAGAAGTGTCTATCTAATTGGAGTCAGGTGCTCTTTGGACAAGAATTTTCCACATGACTCCGTTTAGGTGGTGCTGACATTTGATTTGTGTATGACCATCTGTCAGGGCTCCCGGGTGTGACCAGAGGTGTGTGACTGACGCAGGGAAATGCAGACTTCAGATATGTTATAAACAATATAATTTATTAACACTAACCATACAAACATAAACGCAGTGCAATACTAAAACATAACACAGTGCAAACGAACCAAACCAAACCATCCACAGATAACAGTACATACAATGCAAGCGTCGTCAGGCAGGCCGGGTCAATATCAGTCGGGCAGGTAGGTACAGGGGGAGCAAGCGGAGAATGGTCGGGGTCACAGGCCAGGTTCAGCAGGTAGCGGGCAGCGTGGTACAGAGGGTCAGGCAGAGAAGAATGGTCAGACAAGCCAGGGATCAGAGCAGGGTCAGGCAGAGAATCAGACAGGAACAGAGAGCAGGAACAGGATACAGGGCCCAAGAGAAACACAACACCAAGGCAGAGTCTGCAGGTCTGAATGTCCCTTAAATACACCAGTATAATTAGTTCCAGGTGTTTGACTGGCTGCAAGGTTGAGTCTCTGATTGCTGGGAGCACCCGCTGGCCAGCCCTGGTACTGCAGCTCATAAGGCAGCTGAGTCCCACTATTGCTGGCCAGTCCATTCCTGACAGTACCCCCCCCTCAAGGAGCGGCCTCAGGACGCTCCAAACAGTCCTAGCTGGGCAAAATGTTCCACCGCCCGGGTCTGGTAACTGGCGGGATATCAAAGACTGGCACATCGGGCAGGACTCCGGGCAGAGGCACATCGGGCTGGACTCCGGGCAGAGGCACATCGGGCTGGACTCCGGGCAGAGGCACATCAGGCTGGACTCCGGGCAGAGGCACATCGGGCTGGACTCCGGGCAGAGGCACATCGGGCAGGGCACACCGGGCTGGACTCCGGGCAGAGGCACATCGGGCAGGACTCCGGGCAGAGGCACATCGGGCAGGACTCCGGGCAGAGGCACATCGGGCAGGACTCCGGGCAGAGGCACATCAGATTACCAGGTGAAGCAGCAGGCAGCGGGCCACCAGGCGGAGCAGCAGGCACCGGGCCCCCAGGCGGGGCAGCAGGCACCGGGCCCCCAGGCGGAGCAGCAGGCACCGGGGCCCCCAGGCAGAGCAGCAGGCACCGGGCCCCTGGGCAGAGCAGCAGGCACCGGCCCCTGGGCAGAGCAGCAGGCACCGGGCCCCCGGGCGGGGCAGCAGGCATCGGGCCCCCGGGCGGGGCGACCGGCATCGGGTCCCCGGGCGGGGCGACCGGCATCGGGTCCCCAGGCGGGGCGACCGGCATCGGGTCCCCAGGCGGGGTGACCGGCATCGGGTCCCCAGGCGGGGCGACTGGCATCTGGCCCCCAGGCGGAGCGGCGGGCGCCGGGCCCCCAGGAGGGGCGACAGGCGTCGGGCCCCCAGGCGGGGCGACAGGCGTCGGGCCCCCAGGCGGGGCGACAGGCGTCGGTCCCCCAGGTGGGGCGACAGGCATCGGGCCCCCAGGCGGGGCGGCGGGCGCCGGGCCCCCAGGAGGGGTGACAGGCATCGGGCCCCCAGGCGGGGCGAAAGGCATCGGGCCCCCGGGCCCCCAGGTGGGGCAACAGGCATCGGGCCCCCAGGCGGGGCAACAGGCATCGGGCCCCCAGGCGGAGCGGCGGGCGCCAGACCCCCAGGTGGAGCGACAGGTCTCGGGCCCCCAGGCGGGGCGACAGGCATCGGGCCCCCAGGGGGCGACAGGCATCGGGCCCCCAGCGGGGCGACAGGCATCGGGCCCCCAGGCGGGGCGACAGGCATCGGGCCCCCAGGCGGGGGCAACAGGCATCGGGCCCCCAGGCGGAGCGACAGGTCTCGGGCCCTCAGGCGGAGCGGCGGGCGCCAGACCCCCAGATGGAGTGACAGGTCTCGGGCCCTCAGGCGGAGCGGCGGGCGCCGGGCCCCCAGGCGGAGCGACAGGTCTCGGGCCCCCAGGCGAAGCGACAGGTCTCGGGCCCTCAGGCGGAGCGGCGGGCGCCGGACCCCCAGGCGGAGCGACAGGTCTCGGGCCCTCAGGCGGAGCGGCGGGCGCCGGACCCCCAGATGGAGCGACAGGTCTCGGGCCCTCAGGCGGAGCGGCGGGCGCCGGACCCCCAGGCGGAGCGACAGTGGTCTCGGGCCCCAGGCGAAGTGGCGGGCACGAGTCACCAGGCACGACAGTGGGCTCCGAGTCAACTGGCATGACCGCTGGCACTGGGTCAGACATTGGATCGTCTGGCTGGACAGCGGGCATCGGGTCACCAGGCATCAGGTAATTTGGCTCGACAGCGGGCACCGCGTCATCTGGCAAGGCAGTGGGCTCCGAGTCAACAGGCACGACAGTGGGCACCGGGTCATCAGGTACCGGATTGTCTGGCTCGACAGCGGGCATCGGGTCACCAGGTATGACAGCGGGCACTGGGTCACCAGGCATCAGGTCATTTGGCTTGCCAGCGGGCACCGCGTCATCTGGCAAGGCAGTGGGCACCGGGTCACCAGGCATTGGATCGTCTGGCTCGACAGCGGGCATTGGGTCATCAGGTATGACAGCGGGCACTGGGTCACCAGGCATCAGGTCATTTGGCTCGCCAGCGGGCACCGCGTCATCTGGCAAGGCAGTGGGCACCGAGTCACCAGGCACGACAGCGGGCTCTGAGTCAATTGGCACGACAGCGGGCACCAGATCAGGTACCGGATCATCTGGATCAACAGCGGGCATCGAGTCAACTGGCCTAATAGGATCGTCATGCTGGATCAGTTCATCACGCTGGGTAGAGGCATCCGGCTGAATGCCGGCGTCCGGCTGAGTAGAGGCTTCAGGCTGAATAGAGGCTTCAGGCCGAGTAGAGGCTTCAGACCGAGTAGAGGCTTCAGGCCGAGTAGAGGCTTCAGGCCGAGTAGAGGCATCAGGCCGAATAGAGGCATTAGGCCGAGTAGAGGCTTCAGGCCGAGTAGAGGCTTCAGGCTGAAGAGAGGCATCAGGCTGAAGTACAGGCATCAGGCTGCGTACAGGCATCAGGCTGAGTACAGGCATCAGGCTGAGTACTGGCATCAGGCTGAGTACTGGCATCAGGCTGAGTACTGGCATCAGGCTGAGTACTGGCATCAGGCTGAGTACAGGCATCAGGCTGAGTAGAGGCTTCAGGCTGAACCACGGAAGGCAGGTTCACCGGTTTGGATACTGGCAGGATGGTATTGGTTGGAAAGAATTTTCGCTTTTTTCCGGTTTTAACTACTGGAGCACTACAAGTAAACGCAGGTCTGCAAACGAATGGAGCATCTGGAGACAGAGAAGAACTGGAGGATGGAACAGGAGAGGGAGCAGTTGCTACAGAGGGCTTCTTTACAGGGGTTTAAAGGCAGGATAGGTGCAGCGAGTGGGAACAGGGTACTGACATGCGGTAGATAGCAGGGCAGGAGGAGCTGTTGGGAATGCAGGAATAGAGTTTTGAGGAAATAGATTAGAAGCAGGACTGGGTCTTTGTAAGCTGACTGAGGCTGGGTGCAACAAGTCTGTCCATGTCTGCAGTATGGGTTGAACAAAGCTGAGCTTACACAAAGCCTGTCTGACCAAAGACTGCACTGCGTTTATACAATCTCTTAGTGTCTGTGGTGAACATGTGGAATAACGCTCCAGAAAGTAATCCACATCATCCTCTAATAACCACACCAGGGACTCTACCTGGTCTGCACTAAATGGTGGCAAAAATTCATCCCTGCATTCGGGGGTACCAGATGAAACCAACTCATCACAAACCTCAATCAATGGCTGCACCTCAGAGAACTCTGTGCCCTGATCTACTAGAACATGAGCGAGCCGTATACATTCTAGCAGTTCATCCCGGGTATACTCCTTCAGAGTTTGATAAGCATACTCCCTGTCATCAAACACTAGCAGATATAAATACGCAACCTCATCCAGATCCATCCTTACCATCAACAAGCCAAGATGGCTTCCCTGTGCAGCCACTTCTGGTCAGGATTGGCCTTGGTGTAATGTCAGGGCTCCCGGGTGTGACCAGAGGTGTGTGACTGACGCAGGGAAACGCAGACTTCAGATATGTTATAAACAATATAATTTATTAACACTAACCATACAAACATAAACACAGTGCAATACTAAAACATAACACAGTGCAAACGAACCAAACCACCCACAGATAACAGTACATACAATGCAAGCGTCGTCAGGCAGGCCGGGTCAATATCAGTCGGGCAGGTAGGTACAGGGGGAGCAAGCAGAGAATGGTCGGGGTCACAGGCCAGGTTCAGCAGGTAGCGGGCAGCGTGATACAGAGGGTCAGGCAGAGGAGAATGGTCAGACAAGCCAGGGATCAGAGCAGGGTCAGCAGAGAATCAGACAGGAACAGAAAGCAGGAACAGGATACAGGGCCCAAGAGAAACACAACACCAAGGCAGAGTCTGCAGGTCTGAATGTCCCTTAAATACACCAGTATAATTAGTTCCAGGTGTTTGACTGGCTGCAAGGTTGAGTCTCTGATTGCTGGGAGCACCCGCTGGCCAGCCCTGGTACTGCAGCTCATAAGGCAGCTGAGTCCCACTATTGCTGGCCAGTCCATTCCTGACACCATCTATACACTGCTTGCCTAGTGTCTACTGTTTAAAATAAATGTAAACCAAATCAATAAAATCTCATATAAGATTTAATATGTTAAAGTAATTTCAAAGGTAGGATTTATATACAGTTACAAGAAAAAGTATGTGAACCCCTTGGGATTACGTAGAGTTTTGCATGAATTGGGCATAAAAAATGTGCTCTGAACGTCATCTAAATCACAACAATAGAAGAACACAGTCTGCTGAACATAATACTACACAAACATTAGATGTTGCCATGGTTTAATTGCACATAACATGTAAACATTCACAGTGCAGGGAGGAAAAAGTATGTGAGGCCCTAGCTTAATGACTTCTCCCAGAGCTAATTGAAGCCAGGTGTGAGCCAACCTTGACTCCAATCAGTGTGATGATATTGGATGTGTTGCTGACAGCTGTCCTGCCCTTAAAAAACAAACACACACCTGTTTTGGGTTTACTGGTTTCAAGAAGCACTGTCTGATGTGAACCATGTCTCGCAGAAAAGAGCTCTCAGAAGACCTACGATCAAGAATTGTTGACTTGCATGAAGCTGGAAAGGGTTACAAAAGTATCTCCAAAAGCCTTGATGTTCATGTGTCCACGGTAAGACAGACTGTCTACAAATGGAGAAAGTTTAGCACTGTTGCTACTCTCCCTAGGCGTGGTTGTGTCCTGTAAAAATGACTGCAAGAGCACAGCGCAGAATGCTGCATGAGGTAAAGAAGAATCCCAGAGTGTCAGCTAAAGACCTACAGAAATCTCTGGCACATGCTAACATTTTTGTTGACACATCTACAATAAGGAAAACATTAAACAAGAATGGAGTACATGGGACAACACCGCAGAGGAAGCCATTGCTGTCCAAAAAGAATAGTGCAGCACGTTTGAAGTTTGCAAAAGAGCACCTGGATGTTCCACAGCACTACTGGCAAAATATACTGTGGACAGATGAAACCAAGATTGAGTTGTTTGGGAAGAACACACAGCACTATGTGTGGAGAAAAAAAGCACAGCACACCAACATCAAAACCTCATCCCCACTGTAAAACATGGCGGAGGGAGCATCATAGTTTGGGGCTGCTTTGCTGCCTCAGGGCCTGGACAGATTGTCATTGATGGGAAAATGAATTCCAGAGTTTATCAAGACATTTTGCAGGAAAACATACGACCATCTGTCCGCCAACTGAAGCTCTGCAGAGGATGGGTGATGCAACAGGACAATGACCCAAAGCATACAAGTAATTCAACAAAACAATGACTGCAACAGCACAGAATATGCCTTCTGGAGTGGCCCAGTCAGAGTCCTGACCTCAACCCAATTGAAATGCTGTGGCATGACCTTAAGAGAGCAATTCACATCAGACATCCTAAGAATATTGCTACACTGAAACAGTTTTGTGAAGAGGAGTGGTCCAAAATTATTCCAGATCGTTGTGCAGGTCTGATCTGCAACTACAGGAAACGTTTGGTTGAGGTTATTGGTGCCAAAGGAGGGTCAACCAGTTATTAAGTCCAAAGGTTCACATACTTTTTCCTCCCTGCACTGTGAATGTGCAATTAAACCATGGCAACATCTAATATTTGTGTAGTATTATGTTCAGCAGACTGTGTTCTTCTATTGTTGTGACTTAGATGACGTTCAGAGCACATTTTATGCCCAATTCATGCAAAACTCCACGTAATCCCAATACTTTTTCTTGCAACTGTATATATAAGTGCACCTGTGGCCAGACTATGGATATTCAATTATTTACATATTCTTAACAGGCAGCAGAAGAAGGCTTCACTCACCGCTCTAGCAGTTTATTAATTTTATAAGATTCTCAAGAGTTACAGCAAAAATGTCTGGTTTCAGATATTTCTATTAGCTCAGTGTACACTATACAAACATTTTCAAGGAGGAAGGTAATAAGCCTTTTTTTTGCAAAAAAAGATAAAATATATCCTTACGACTGCAGTTAAAATAAACAAATGAATCAAGCGTCTACTCTTACTACAAATGTGTAAATTGATATTATAAAAAAATCATCAGTGTTAGTGTCCAGATCTCACTAATAATTAATATAGAATACCAATAATGTGTTAGTTGTCCCTTCAAATTCAAATACACTTGTAATGCTGTTTTTTGAAAAAGGTTTGGCGCTTCACATTCATAGACATAAAATCATCAGTTTAACTACAAAAAAACAAACTGTCTTGCCTGATAAATTACTTAATGCAAATCCTCTTTGTGCTCCACCACCGTGTTTCAACATATGCTCACCGACCATCCATGACCCCTTAATTAAAAGAAGGTCTTTTGCACTTTGTGTTAGCAAGAATCAGAATTTCAGTGGGTTCCTTCCTCACATTCTCCCCTTTTTTTCCCGCAATTCCATTACGGCATGAATCAAAAGAATTATTCTTCTCATGGTCTAGTACATTTATTAAAAAATGGAATATTAAAAACAGGTATTGCACTCACATTAGCTGGTGCGCAATCCACGGCACTAATACATTTAACTGTATTGCGCCAATGCCGCTCGTGTCACTTGAGCCGGCGTGCATTCCAATAACTGGAAATGGATGTGACGTCAATGGACCTGGATATGGCAAGACACGACACTCTGCCTCTACATGTTTCACCTAGGTGGCGTCTTCAGGAAGCTCACATCCGCCATTTTCCCTGGGCCTTATCTACTGTGCTCAACTTCCTCATTGGCTAAGCCTAATAGGACTACCTTATTATGGCAACTCCCCATGTTATAATAGTGTTCAGTTCTGAGTGCATTACAGCTAAGGTGTGTTGACCAAGCTAAGCTAAATTAAAACAACATACAATCTTTCCATATGGATGGAATTCTCTTAAATAAATAAATATAAAAACTTATAAATAATTACCTCCCCTAAAAACTAGTTATAAAAACTATTTAAATCAATATCTATATTTAGCCCCTTAGGTGTTAAAGAATTTAGTTCAAATATCTATTTCGTTTCATTTTTTTAAAATTTTTTTATTTTTTTAAATCACGGCCCCTCCAATGCTTGGTGGCTCTATCTATACCATAAAAGGACAGGAGCGTGGGATCTATGTTATGTACCAGCGTGAAATGATTTGATACACTATGTTTTTTGAAGCCATTCTGAATATTTGTTAAATGCTCTCCCACCCTTTTAGATAACTTTCTGATCGTGCTGCCTAAATAATATAAGCCACATGGACAAGTCAGCAGGGAGGTCACATATCTGCTGTCACATGTAATAAATTTATCAATTTGAAATTTTTTACCCATATTGGAGACAAATTCTGACAATATCCTATTTTTATTCTTCACTACTGCCGTTGAGCCCTTGCATACTAATATCAAGCACAAGGATGGGTTAAGGGCCATTGAATGGGCCCCACACTCATGTTCCAATTTAAATATCCCCCAGATAAAGTATATCTTGGAAGGTTTTGGAAATGGATATGGCCAATAACTATTTTTGGTATGGAGGGGAGTTCTATAATCAGATTAAGGGTGTGACCATAGGGGCAAGGTATGCAACAAGTGTGGCTAACATTTTTTTTAATAAGTGGGAGGCAGAGGAAATATTTTCAAAACAACCCCCCCCCCCCCCCAACTAGTTGTATATAAAAGATTTATTGGTGATATTTTTATCATGTGGGAAGGTGCCAAAGAGGAGTTACAATCCTATCTGGAGGGACTAAATAACAACAGATATAGTATAAGGTTCACTAGTAATATTAATGAACGAATGGAAGGAAGAGAAAACGTTTTGCACAGGTACCCATTTTAAGGAAACAGATAGAAATGGATATATATCAATTAGGATTTATCAGCATCCTGGATGGGTGAGAGCCATCCTGGAACAATTTATGCGGATTAAAAGAAATTGTCAAAGAGAAGAAGATTTTAGAATTCCGACAAATTTATAGAAAGATTTGTAGAAAAAGGCTATAACAAGGAATTATTGTTAAGAACAAGAGACGAGGTAAACAGAATGGAAAGAGAGGAACTTTTGAAGAAGAAGGAGAAAGCTAACAGCAAATTTGATCTGGCCTTTAGAACTGGGTATAATATACAACATAAAGAAGTTGAAAAATGCATAAAAAAATACTGGCCAATTTTACTTAATGATCATTCATTAAAAAAAAGATTTTACCTAAAAAAAACCTCAGTTTATATATGAGAGCTCCAGGGCTTTGGTGTATGATGGAAAATGTGAAGTTCTGGTCATCCACCTCCCCCTGCCCTCCTCTTATTATAGTGGCCTTTTTTCTCTGGGAGTGGGTACCTATTTCTGACAGTAATGTAAAGGAAAGAAGATTTCCATATGAGCCACACATCTATGCAAACCCCAGGTAGGAGATTGTAACAGCCTAAGCCCGGAAGCCAGCCAGGCCATGCCCCCAATATGTTTCACTCCGGGATTCCAAGCTGATGGGAAGAATAAATGCATCATCAGCTGTCATTTAATTAATCAATTAAAAAAAGGCTTAATATCACAAGAGCAACAGTCTGTTCACAGAGAACAAGGCTTGGTAAGCCTCCTGCACTGAACTGCAGGGGTGCAACTACATATACCCATTTCTGACGGGTACCTACTCCCACTCTGCTGGCCTAGGTGAGCAGAGTAGAAGTACGGCCCCCTTCTTGTCCGCAACCTTCTGGGACACATCACATGTTCCAGGAGACTGAGGGATCATTCTAAAAGTGCAATGCATTTCACACACGTGCAGCAGGGAGCTGGGTGTGAAACACCAGAAAGTCACACACACCGGGTCGAAATCACAGCCAGCTTCCCACATACAAGAGAGAGCCAGGGATCCAAAAACCGACAAAGACCTGGCCAAAGTGATGACAGAGTTGGATCCCTGGGCTGCTAAGTGTCTGTTTATTAAAAGTTCACAGTTACATTTTTTGCAGATGCTAACTTTGATTTTTTCAGAAACAACTAAAGTTCTTTCCATGCACATTGGGAATTTAGCCTCTGTGTATGAGGCTCCAGCGTTTAGATTCGGCTGGAGGACACAGCCACACCATTCAGCCCCACTGCCAACAGCCTAATACACTTTATGAGAGTCCAACAGCTGCTGCGGCTGGATGATGCACCTAGTGGTATGTACGTCTAGGCCAGTATGCGGCCAGGGACGAATGACTGGAACGCAAGCAGTTGGCATTCTGGGCACTGGTTTCTGGGTGTATACTGCCCTAAACAGAAATACAGTTGAGAGCCCTGTTGAGCCTCAGCAACTGTCAGACTTTGAGAGTTTGACAGCCTGCCTGCAGTGGGGCTGGACAGTGCACCTGTACCTTTTAGCTACATCTAAATGTTAGAGCCTCACACAATGGGGCTAAACACCCAAAGTGTATGAGGCCTTAAGCTCACCATACACTATACAGTCTGATTGTCCAACATTTAGATCTAACAACAACCATGTAGTATATGGGCCCATGAGATTGGATAAAAATTGTTTGGATTGTACGTTTGCCCTCATATTACATAGTTTTGGTAAATTTAAATGACATTGTACAATGAGATTTTTTACAAAGAAAAAGAAACAGTGCTAACACAACAAAACATCCATGAAAAGTCCAAATATAGATGTTCATAAATTATACATAATAGTCCCCACACCAAGTAAAGAAATCTTCTATATTTGACCGATGTTCATCCAGTAGTGCATCAATTCACTTCACCAATAAGAATGTACACTCACCGCCAGTCCGGTGACCTCTAACTCAATAAAGGTCAATAAGCACTGTGGGGTTAGCAAATATACCTCCAAATAGATCACATTGTTGGATAATAACAGTAACATAATGAAAGTGACACTAGATAGTGCTGTGTATTTCTAGGTCTGCTTGTCTTTAGTGCATACTTTACAACCTTCTGAAAGGCAGACACCATTTAGCACAAAATAATTAGGTAAAGGACACACCCCTGCCATACTCCCTTGTCACATGGATATGAAAAAACAAGAGTGATCACCTAAACCCACTGAGGCTTTTTCATTGCTACTACTGCTATATTTTCAAGTAAAAATCACTAATACAATAATGTAATTCTAATGGATGGAAAGGTTTAGTGCAATAAAATCAGCTTTGAAGTTTATTAGTAGAAATGAATTGTTACAATGCGAATGGGAATAAGGGACAGAGGGAATTGGTTACAAAAAAGGGAAGGTTCATAGCTAGTACTTGGAAAACAATAGCAAGTGACTGGGAATATTCATCCAAATTGACTGATTCATTCCCTGAGAAGAGTCTATTATTTTAGTCATTTTTAACTTATTGTAATGTATTTTAATGCATTTTTATCACCTAACCTTATTACTATCACAAGGGGGCTAACATGCCCTCTATGTGATAGCATATACACAGTGAAAGGTACTCTTTATAGTCTTTTAGCCCCATAATGCCTCCTCCGCTAGACTCCCCTCAACCAGAGCAATGTAGAATGTACTTGTTTGATTGTTTTCCTGGGCACACTTGATTCTGATAGCTCTGAACCATGGTGTGCTCCAGGTTCATTATCACAGGCAAGATGGAGAAACAAATATTTCTAGTTTCTCCTCTGCTCTCCTCTGCTGTCCATTGTAAATGATGGCATGGAAACCCTGGGATTCTGGAGAACAGCTGCAAGTTTATTTACATTCCAACCGTGCCACACTGTAATACTTACATCGATGGTAGTAAATTGGTTAAAAAGACTACGTCCCTTTGCTCATTCTCTTTTACCATATTCCCCTGCTGTTCTTTGCTGCATCGGAGCTACCCCTGAATATTTGGTGTTTCCAGGTATAGGGGGACATGTGACTTCCTATCAGTATGCATTGCTTAAGCCAAAGCAGTCTGTCCCTAGGTCAGCACACGGTCATGAGAGGGAGAGGGGGTGTGCTTTCAAGACTCTGCATAGGCAAATTGACATTTCTTTAAAGATATTCTATTACTACAAAACATGGTATCAATCTGAAATAATGTTTAATAACATTCTTGCAATTCAAGCAGTTTGATTTGAATTTTCTTTTAAACAGTGAGTTGTTAGTAAAATAAAAACTTACCTTTACAGTCTGGGCCATATCTGTTAGGGGCACATAGCTCACAAGCTGTCCCAATAAACCCCTCTGCGCAATTACACTGACCCGTTCCTGCCATTCCATCTACACATGTTCCATGATTACTGCACGGAGCTTCCAGGCCTCCAGGACACACTGTAACACAAAAGCATTTATACTGCTAAGATGCTACATAGCAATGTCACTACATGAACTATAACAAATGTTATCTGTAAAAGAGGTCATTGCAAGGCTGTTTTTCTGATAAGAAAAATATGAACTTGTGCAACAATGTAGGGGTCAGCAATGCACCTAAATCCACAGCAGAAAACCAGGCTTTATATGTCCATAAGGGACCCTCAGCAGTTTGACCAATTGCAGTTTGTCTGAAATAGGAATTCTGCCCTTACAAATAGGGAAGAGCTGCCAGTTTGGTCTGACTCTTGGTTTGGACTGAATTTTTGATCAGAGCTTCAGCGAATAGCTGAATTAGGTGGGTTTTCGGCTGAGCTGAACCTCGGGCTACACTGAGAAGCAAAGTATTACTTCCGCTGATAAATGTGACAGCTTCCTGTCCAGCTGTCAGCTGGGGATTTCTGCTCACAGGTAAATGTAAACAAAAGGGGCAGGGAGAGTGTATATAAAAAAAAAACTAATTACATTTCAGACCCTGGTATGCCCAGCCTGCCATGCTATTTTTTTATAGTCCTGGGGGAAATCCCAGAAACATAAGTCTTCCATTTTAGATGATAAAACTTACAGAAAAAAATATTTACTACCTCTAACCATTATACATTCCGAAAATAACCCTGTCAGTCAGAACATGGGTTTCAACAACCAGGCCATAAAAGCCAGTGACTGGAAAGCAGGGTAGGATATCAGTCTTTGAAATAACAGATCTGGCCAATTAGCCCACAAAATGGCCATTACTGTTTTTTTTAACATTGGACTCACATTGACTTCAATGGGATTTGGATTCGACTCCTGCAACTCACAGAATTCAGCTCATCACTGCTCACAAACTCTGAACCACTGGCCCAGGGACCAACCTGTCGTGTTCCCTGTTGTGCTAGAATGTTTGTATTTTTAAACACAGGCATGTAAAATCACATTTTGGAGTCCCCAGAAAATTCAGTATGTAATTATACGTAGAGATTTTTAATACAGGCTTATTAAACAAGGATAGGGGACATTCATCCAATCCATCGCACAGCAAGACAACGATACACAGGAGCAATGAGACAGGTAATGCAACAAATTGACTACAAGGGTACATCTTAAATTTCTCCCTCAGCTGCTCTAAAGTAGCACTTGTGACAAAATAAAACCTGCACCTTATCATTACTTGTGTGTCTGTTTTGAGTGATAAATCTTTTCAAAAGGTATTTTTTACAAAGTACAAAAGGACACAGATACAAGCCAAGAACCTATTACAACTCATAGGCTGCAAATAGAAATTCAGAAATACATTTATTCATTCAAGAATAAAAAGCAAACCAGAGTGATATCATATAGAAATTAAAGAAGTTAAATAACAATGGTACTTAATCCTAACTAGGGCCATCAGATCTCAATAAATTTAGTTGGACTTGCCCTGGCTTCAAAGATAAGCTTATATTTAGGTAAGGCTTTATCTACCAAAGCCAATACTGATAGGAGGAAAAGGGTTTATCCAAAATAACTGTATGGATTCTCATGCACAGAAGCATAGTAGTCTGAACAGGGTTCTGTTGGCAGTGTGAGAAATAAGGGGTTCAGAACACCAAGCAAAAGTACTTCTGGGTTTTTGGGATGACAGTATCCAATTTGCATTGCAGAAATAAGTGAATCCAAGTCCAGTAAATCCAGATTTTTTCAGTGCAAAATGTCTATATAATCATAGGCCTTATACTATTTAAGAAATATAGATGATTCAGACTAGTGTGGTTATAACCTCCAAAGAGCAGGGCCCTCCTAACCCTCTTGTATTGGACTGTATTGTCTCCCATTATACTGTAAAGCGCTAAGCAAACTGTTGGCGCTATATAAATCTTGTATAATAATAACCTGTCCAGCCAAGGATTTTTCAGTTATAGTCTCCAACAAGTAGTGTGGCGCATGAGGGGAAATGAAAATGTTTTGTATTAATACCAATAAAGATTTTCAGCTGCACCGGGAGGGTTTTTATATATATACATATATATATATATATATATATATATACACACACAGTTACTAGGAGAATGGTGGTGTAGGCAATGCATAATCACATATCAACACCCCCCCGAGTTATGCAGATATTCAAAGAGCAACCCTATTTAAATCAGTATGGAGAAACCCAACACATAACAAGTGTAAGGAACAAGGAGATAATGGTGATCATAGCAATATTTAATGTAAATATCCAGCACAAAGACTACAGGTAACCATAGAGTTCATGCAACACACTCCACCTGCCTAGGAAAGAGCTCAGCAGAACAAGAAGACGGGCAACGCAACACACACATATGCCAGACAAACAACTAGACAAGTATAAATGAACAGTGGTAAATATATTTAAAGCAACAGACTGGTGTGATGAAAGGAAGTCCCATACGCAACTCCATCCCATTTTAGCAGGCTTTAACCCTGAACTGACACATAAACCAGGGAGTGAAAATCTGTCTATATACAGTAATAAATCTGCAGGTGCAGACATCACCATGGTATAACCAAAGTCCAGTGATGTACCAGTACATCACTGGTCCTTGTTGGGTGTATATGCTATGTTCTTTTTTTTTTTTTATGCAGCCTGTGAGCTGAATGGAAAAAAAAAGAGAAGAAATCTCTGCCAGAAAAAGGGTGTGGTATGCCCACCATTAGAATACCTCCCTGCATTCACCCACTTCTAATGGTAGGCACACATGAAATGTGCCAACAAATACAAAATATATATGCCAAAGCATAGGGGCCATCCACCCCAGGCCCCCATGATTCGGCATATATGCTCTTTTTTTAACTGTGGATGAAAAATATCATCCAACAGCACTGCACACACCTACTTATGTAAATTCTGTGAGAAAGACCCTGTTGCTGTCAGAATAAACAAGTCGGTGCTGCAGTTTGACATTCCTGCAAAGAAAACCGCAGTGGTTAACAATAAAACAGTAACTCAATTAAACAACTTTTTAATTGAAATATCTCTGCAAGAAAAAGTGTGTGGTGATATGCCCACCATTAGAATACCTCCCTGCATCCACCCACTTCTAATGGTGGGCACACATGAAAAGTGCCAACTAAGATTATAAAATATATATGCCGAAGCATAGGGGGCATCCACCAACTGGCCACCCCAGGCTCCCATGCTTCGGCATATATGCTCTTTTTTTAAACTGCGGATGAAAAATCTCATTCAACAGCACTGCCCACACTGATTTATGTATATTCTGAGAGCAAGTTCCTGTTGCTGTCAGAATAAACAGGTCAGTGTTGCAGCTGAAAGCATTCCTGCACAGAAAACAGCAATGGTTAACAATAAAACAGTAACAATAAAACAGTAAAAGTAGAATACAAAAATGACAACAATAAAAAAAACTATAACTATTTTTTTTTTTTTAAAATTTTTAATTTTTGGGGGATTTGTACTTTATATTTTTTTAACTTTTTTTTCAAACTTTAACGTTTCAAAAACAGATTGTAGGGTCTCTCCAAATGCAATAGCCAGTTTCATGACTACCTAACATCTTTCGAGACCCTGTGTATTTATGTGCTCTGAACTGTGCCGTGCTGTACCCTATACTAATACTCCACTAGTATATGATAGCGACAGAAGCAGTCCTTGATGCAGAGGCCAGGTTGGTCAGGACAGGAGAGACGAAAAAAGTGTCTGTCACGCCTAATTCCATGTCTGCTACAGACACAACATCTTTTTTGGAGGTTCCTTTGGGTTGGGGTACCAGGAATGGCATCGGGAAAATGCCTCTCATGCAGCCGGCTAACTGCATCTGGGTTGGGGCCACAGCACCTTCTGGATACAAAAGGGCTGTGATGATCTCTTCCTGGATTTTAGGAAGGATCCTCTATGTCCAGTTGCTTTGTAAAGAGCAAAAGCGTTGTATAAAGCCAATTGAAATAAACAGACACTTTTTTGTACCAGCGTCTGGCTTTTTGGGAAACTAAGTACGGCTTCATCATCTGGTCGTTGAAGTCCACCCTGTGACGGGCACGGTGTCAGACCCCAGTCCTTCTCACCAACTTGTGACCGAAGGACTAGCCAATCTAAAACCGCGCTGCCACTTGCGTAACAATGCCACTCTCAGCTGCACCCTGCACAAAGATTTTCCAGCTCACTGGACCCCAATCTAGCGATTGTTACTGGGTCAGGTTAATTACGCAATTAACCCTTCACACTGCCACCACCACCTTTTTTCAGAGAAGGAGGAAACTCACAAATCTTAGCAGTAACACTATGATGTTTGAATAGGCGTCTGTATACACACTGTCACCGCAGACAGGTGTATCCAGAGGTTTTAAAACACACAGTAGCACTCTTCAGAGACAGGGATTCTTAGTTTGCAATAAAGAGCTTTAGAAACAATTCAACACTTTTCAGAAAATAGGATTACTAAAAAAGGTCAAAATGGTGCAATAAAAAATATTTACAGAAAAGATGTAACCAAAATATATATATAAATAGAGAAAGCAATAACACAACAGAGAGATAAAAGAAAGAAGTTTAAGAAGGTAGAATACTTGCAGAAGTCCTGGTTTAAGCAGAGTTCAAGTGTCCTGAACAAAAGGGTACCTTTTCTCCCAAAGTTGGTTCCTGATGTTAAAAGGGAGTATCTCTTCATACCTCTCTCTTCAGGCATGACAGCTTTTCTAGTGTCCCAGCAGGGAGTGCCTACTGAACCCAAGGGCCAATCGCCTCATTTGGGGAGGGGGGGGTTAGGCGGAGGCCCAGGCTGTGACCCAAATCCCTCCCAAGTTTATACCATGGTCAATAACCTTCCATAGGTGCATGCAGCAGCCTAGCCACTGGCAGGTTAATATGCAGAATGATATTCTGAACGTCCAGACACCAAACATGACATATCCGGCTGTGACGGATTACAAGATATCGCTTTCTACTCTCTGGTAGATGTTATCTAGGGATGTAAGGTATCAGGTGACTCGTATTAAACTGACCTATCTGAATA